AAATTATTATTTTCATATTTTACATCATCTGCTGTTTACCTTCACCCACATTTCTGTTGTTCATCGCCCTGGGGAGGGGGGCTTGCATGCCAATCATTGTGATCGGTTCCCCCTTTCTTCCTTCTCTCCCCACTTTCCCCCTACCCTCATGGTATTACTACTCTCGTTACTGGTCCTGAGTATTTTATCTGTCCTGGATTCTGTGTGTCCAGAACTCTTATCTGTACCCATGTACATGCTTCGATCTAGCCAGATTTGTACGGTAGAACTGGGTTCATGATAGTGGAGGAGGAAACATTAAAGAACTAGAAGAATGTTGCGTTTCATTGGTGCTATTCTGCACCCTGGCTGGCTCGTCTCTTCCTTGTGACTCTTCTGTGAGGGCATGTCCAATTGTCTGCAAATGGGCTTTGGGTCTCCACTCCAACCCTCCCTCGTTCGCATCACATGGTGGTTTTGGGTCTTCTGATGCCTGATTCCTGAACTTGTGATCACACAGGTTGGTGTGCTTCTTCCATGTGGGCTTTGTTGCTTCCCTGCTAGATGGCCGCTTGTTTAACTTCAAGCCTTTAAGATCCCAGACACTATATCTTGTAATAGCCGGGCACCATCAGCTTTCTTCACCACATTTGCTTATGTATCCATTTTGTCTTCAGCGATTGTGTCAGAAAGGTAAGCATCGCAGAATGCCAGGACATTAGAACAGTGTTCCTGCATTGAAGGAGAACTTGAGTAGAGACAAATGTCCATCTGCTACCTTAATACTCAACCTATATGTACTAGATGTATATCCCTATTGTTGTATATTGATATATTTACATATCTTGATGCTTTACCATATAAATGTATGTATATTAACATATTTACATATATGCACGTCTATATTTATACCTCTCTATAGCTTTTACCTCCTAGTTCTTTCCTCTGTTTCCTTTTACTTTTCTCCTGCCCCCCTAGACTTTTCCTAACAGTGTTTGATGTTGGTGTATATGTTAGGGTGATTCCTGTAGCCACTTATCTTCCCTATGAGAGTTTTGTTCCGCGTTTTTCTTCCACTCTTCCCAGGACCTTGTGTTTGCTTGTTTAAATCATTTTATTGGGGGCTCGCACAACTCTTATCACAATCCATACATCCATCGTCAAGCACATTTGTACATTTGTTGCCCTCATCATTCTCAAAGCATTTGCTTTCTACTTGAGCCCTTGGTATCAGCTTTTTTTTTTGCCCCTCCCTCCCTCCCCCAGCCTCCCTCCTTCTCTCACGAACCCTTGATAATTTATAAATTATTTTTTCATGTCTTATCCTGACCAGTCTCCTTTCATCCCCCTTTCTATTGTCCGTCCCCCAGGGAGGGGGTTATATGTAGATCCTTGTGATCGGTCACCCCTTTCTCCCCAACCTGGTATGGCTACCCTCATTATTGGTCTTGAGTGGTTTATCTGTCCTGGATTCCCTGTGTTTCCGGTTCTGATCTGTACCAGTGTACCTCCTCTGGTCTAGCCTGTTTATTTTTCTTTTATTTTGATTTAGGTAAAAGCTTACACTGCAAATCAACCTCACATTCAATAACTGTTAAGACTGGTTCGTGCCTTTGGCTGACCTCCGTCCCCACTGCACCCTGGGTTCCAGGTGGCCACTTGCCCAGTCTTCCTAGCCTTTCTGCCCCTTGGGGCTTGTGTGGCTTCAGGTTCTGAGGAGCATGCTCCTTGTGGGTATTGTCCACTCGTGTGGCTGTCGGTGCTGACACGTGGCGATCTGAGCCTGTGGACAGACGAAACACTGCCTTGCCCTGCGCTCCTCACAGTGCTCCTGCCTGAGCCTGTCCGTCCATCTTGTCCAGGGCCTCCCTGTTTGCTGCCCGGCCACTTCACCCAGCATGACGTTCTCCTCCAGGTACTGGTCTCCATGGGTCTGCCTGATGTTGGCTGTACGCCGGTCTCCAGGAATGAGCTCAGTCCTGAGGATGACGGCGGGCAACTGGGGGCTGTTACCGCAGGGCCACCCGTTATCAGAGCAGGAAGCCTGGCCTATTCAAGGAACCTGACTTTTGCTCTCCATCTCTGCCCGGGGTTTTCTAGGGCAGCCTGGTCCGGCTCAGTGGTCCCTGGGTGGCTGGTTCTGCTGGTGGTGGCTGTGCTTCATTTGGGCCACCTGTTTCGAGTCGTTTTCTTCACTTTCGCTCCAGATGGGGACCCAGAGGCGCATCTCAGGTACTCACTCACAGCTGTTAGACCATGAACCCTCATCTGTACAAGAAGATCGTTTTTATGGACGATGCTATGCCGACGGACCTCTAAATCCCACAAGTGAAGGATGGATGGGCGGACAGAGCCCAGCCTGGAAGCCCAGTAACTCAGCGTACGAGGTGCTTGGTTATGATCATGTCCGCGCCCCACCCCCAACTATGCCCCCTGTGTATTTCACCCTGTGCGCGGGCATCTCTGCAGGGCACATATAGTTTTGTTTTCCCGACTATGCCCCCTGTGCATTACATCCTGTGCGCTGGCATCTTTGCAGGGCAGGCATAGATTCGTTTGCCCTATGGCCCGTGTATTTCAACCTTTTAATGGGCATCTTTGCAGGCCACGTAGTTTTGTTTCCCCGACCATACCCCTGTGTATTTCACCCTGTGTGCGGGCATCTCTGCAGGGCAGGTATAGTTTTGTTTGCCCGACTATGCCCCCGTGTATTTCACCCTGTGCGGGGCATCTCTGCAGGGCAGGCATATTCCCCCCCCCCCGACAATGCCCCCTGTGTACTTCACACTGTTCACGGGCATCTTTGCAGGGCAGGTATAGTTTTGTTACCTTGATTATGCCCCCTGTGCATTCTACCTTGTGCGTGGGCATCTTTGCAGGGCAGGTATAATTTTGTTTCCCCAACTATTCCCCCTGTGTATTTCACCCTATTCATGGGGATTTTTGCAGGGCAGGTCTATCCCACCCTCACCCCCGCAGTATGCTCCCTGCGTATTTCACCCTGTGCGCTGGCGTCATGTCGGGCAGGTAGATTTGTTTCCCCGACTATGCCCCCTGCGTATTTCACACTGTGCACGGGCATCTTTGTACAGCAGGTATATTTTCTTTCCCCGACTATGCCCCCTGCGTATTTCACACTGTGCGCGGGCATCTTTGTACAGCAGGTATATTTTCTTTCCCCGACTATGCCCCCTGTGTATTTCACACTGTGCGCGGGCTTCTTTGCAGGGCAGGTATAGTTTTGTTTCCCCGACTATGCCTTCTATGTATTTCACCCTGTTCATGGGCATCTTGGCAGGGCAGGTATAGTTTTGTTTGCCCGATTATGCCCCGTGTATTTCACCCTGTTCATGGGCATCTCTGCAGGGCACTATAGTTGTTTCCCCGACTATGCCCTGTGTATTTCACCGTATAGGCGGGCATCTCTGCAGGGCACGTACAGTTTTGTTTCCCAGACTCTGCCCCGTGTATTTCACCCTATAGGTGGGCATCTCTGCAGGGCACGTCTAGTTTTGTTTCCCTGACTCTGTCCTGTGTATTTCACCCTATAGGCGGGCATCTCTGCAGGGCACGTATAGTTTTGTTTCCCCGACTATGCCCCCTGTGCGTGGGCATCTCTGCAGGGCACGTATAGTTTTGTTTCCCCAACTCTGCCCCCTGTGCGTAGGCATCTCTGCAGGGCCTGTCTAGTTTGCTCCGAGGAACTCCTTTCAAGAAATGATGCTTTTCCACCCATCCCCCGATGACAACTTGGGTTTCCATCTTTTTCTCGGCGTGACTGATGCCACAGGGCTCGTGGGTGCTCATGTCTGTCTGGCTTTCTTCTCGTGAGGGTGTGTAGCTTTAGCCTTCCTCAAGTCAGTTCGAACACAGGCCGTGGCTCTTGTCAGTTTTGGCCTTTGCTCCCAAACTGGTTTGGTGAGTTCTGATTCCGAATTGCTGTGTGAGCACAATTCCTGGAGTCTCAGCGTCCCAGGACCGGACAATCCTCTCGTCTCTGGACTGGACGGTTGTCCTTTCACAATCAGTCCCTTAGAGGAGCGAGTTCAGGGAAACTGCTCTGGATGCCTCTCGCGATTCTAGAGGGTTTGTTTCTGTGAAAGGGTTAAGAACAAGGTGCTGGTACCAGCCACCTGCCCTAACTGGGATTCTCGCTGCCTCTACCACCAGCGGTATAGCCGGGTTTCATCTGTACTTGGCAACTGCCCGGAAGACTGCCCCGAGGGGGTTTTTGCCCCTGGCCAGCTGACTTGTGGGACCTACCTGGTGGTTTCCCCGCCTCCCGTGGAAGCTGGTGGCCGAGCCATTTACCTAAGCCGATGGTGGTGATTCCCGTTGTCTCCTGAGGACCCCGGTTCTCCGCGGTGGAGCTAAGTGTGCAGCTACTGAGCAACACTGCACCAATCCCACCGTTTGGCTCACTGGTGATGGTACCGGGCACATCAGGGCAGCAGGCCTGTTGAGGGTGGGCAGAGCTTCCGGGGAAGCCAGCATGCATCCAGCCACTTTAGGCTGCGGACGCGGTTAAGTTCCAAAGAGCCAGCGCACTGTGGGCATGGGCAATGGCCACCGAGCGGAACAGGACGGTGCTGCTGCCTCACCACCAAGGCCTGTCTGCCCGGCAGCACTACAGACTCAGCGCACAGGCCTGCTAGGGCCTTGAGGCTTCAACAAAGGGGCACTGGGAAGGTCGTGTCCCCCACCCAGCTGGCCACCGCACAGGAAGGGCACACGTGCCAATTTGCTGTAGCATGAATGGCCCTGCCTCTGGCCTGGGGCACCTTCTGTCTCCTGGAGACCTGGAACAAGATTCCACCTTTGTTCTCAGGGGCCGGCTGCCAGCCTGCTGTGGGAGGTGGGCTCTGCCCGTGCTGGCTTTGGTAGGATGAAGGTGCAGCCCTTTCCTGGGGGAGAAGCTGGCCTGAGAACAGGCGGATGACGCCTGCTGCACACACAGTGGGATTGACACTGGCACAGGGGGAAGCCGAGCCTCCCTCCTGCGGGGTGGAGTACAGCAAGAATTATATGCAATATTTTATTGAATTACTTTGGAAACAAAATCCCTAACCTGAACAGTACATAAAAATGGCCCCCAACAAAGAAATCTTGCAAGAATACACTGAAGGTACTTGCAGCTCTGTCCCTCTGAGCCGAGTGCTTGCGCTGGAGAATAAATTAAAGAGCACACCAGGTGAGTTCAGGCAGATGACCGTGTCCTGGGCTGGGCTACTCCCCGTCCTCTTCTGTCCTCATTGCTCGTTCTGCTGGCCCTCGGTGACGGAGGTCGGCACGGGGCCCTGGCCCTTGTTGACGTCACTGATGCACACCCACTGCCCGTCCACCGACTCCTTCCACAGGGTCACCTGCAAGCCAATCATCGCGGCTGTCACGGCCTGCTTGGAGCCCGGCCCCCCTACCAAGCCCCCTGCACAGAGGCGGGTGGTAAACAGCTTGGCTCTGGGTGCCCTGCTGCAGTCCTGGAAGGGAAGGCAGGTCCCAACGTTCACAGAGATGGAGAGCCTGAGGCCGGCGGGGCTCTCCATAGGACCCCACTGGAAAGATCCCTCAAGTGCAATTCCTGGGGCGCAGGGCGGGGGCAGCCCCGAGGTGTCGCCCCAGGAAGGGAAGGAGCAGAAGAAACGGGTCTGGCTGGGAGCGCTGGAGCTGGGACTAGGGCGGCCTCAAGCTGGCACTGGGGTAAGAGTGGTTCCCCACGGCACTGCCTCAGGAGCAGAAGGCCAGCTCTGGGCCAAGATTCCGCCCCGCCCCTGGGCAAGGGGTGCCCTGCAGACCGCGGCATGGCGACTGTCGGAAATGGCCTTGTGCAGAGAGAAGGGGCAGGTCGTACAAGCAGGCATTTGCTAACTGCCCGTCTAAGTCAGGTAAGGCTGGGCTGGGAGGGACATCGTGGCCATCGCCATCTGGAGCCACTCACTATAAACCAGGAGCGCCAGGGCCCTGGACAGGACATCACCTGCTCCCTCTGCTCGCTGTCCCGCCTTCCTCAGCAAGCCTGCGTGGAAGTGGTACCGGCTCATCGAGGTAGGCACTCCCCTTACCTGTGAACTTTCTCTCATTCCCTCTGTCTCCGTCTCTGTGTATGCCCCTCCCTCCCTCTCTGGGACAGAGAGCAGAGAGTGACAGGAAACAGATTCACTCCCCCCATCTTTTTCTTCCCCCTCATATCTCTCACTCCCTCTCTATGACTGTCTCCCTATGTCTCTGTCTCATGCTGTCTCAGAGTGAGACAGAGGGAAAGACTGACTCACCCCTTCAGGTCCCAGTAATCCTCCCCTCTCTCTCCCTGAGACAGAGACAGACAGACGTATAGGAGGGAGGGGAGAGACTTACTCCCCATCTCTCTCTGTTCTCCTCTCTCCGTCCCTCTCTCGGTCTCTGGGACAGAGAGCAAAGAGTGACAGGAAACAGATTCACTCCCCCCCTGTCTCTCCTGTCTCATAGAGAGACAGAGGGAGAGACTGACAGAAAGACGTAGAGGAGGGAGGGGAGAGACTTACTCCCCGTCTTCCTTTCTGTTCTCTCTCTGACTCTCATTCCCTGTGTCTCTGGGACAGACAGCAGAGAGTGACAGGAAAGAGATTCACATCTCTCACTCTGTGTATTTCTGCCTTTGTCGCTGTCTCACAGTGAGACAGAGAAATAGAGGGAGAGACTTACTCCCCATCTATCTCCATCTCCATCTCTGTGTATGCCCCTCCCTCCTTCTCTCGGTCTCTGGGACAGATTTACTGCCCCCATCTTTTTCTTCCCCCTCATATCTCCCCATCTCATCCTGTCTCAGAGTGAGACAGAGGGACAGACAGGAGAGACTCACCCCTTCAGGTTCCACTCTCTCCTCCCTTTCCCTGTATCTGTCTCTCTCTTTCTCTGGCCCTGAGACAGAGACAGACAAAGACATAGAGGAGGGAGGGGAGAGCCTTACTCCCTGTTTCTCTGACTGATTCTCTCCTCTCCTCTTTCTCTCACTACTTCTGTGTCTGTCTGAGAGCCAGAGAGGAGAGACAGAGACTCACTCCGTTTGTCTGTGGTCTCCTCCTTCTATGACCTTTTACTCTGTCCTGTCCTCTCTCTCCCTCCGTCTGTCTGGCCACTGTCTGAGACAGAGAGATCCCCTGCCTGTCTGTTTCTCTCCTTCTTACACTCTCTGTCTCTGTCTGAGAGCAAGAGAACAGAGACAAGACTCTCTCTCCCTCTCTGTTCTTGTCTCTCATTACCTCTGTGTCTGTCTCTCTATCTCTGATTGTAGGTTCGAGTGGGCTGCATGGTGGGCCCAGGAGGTAGCTGTGCTTTAACCAGTCCTGACCTTAACAGCTCTCTGACCCTTCCGAGTCCACTCAGCTGCCCCCGTCAAAGGGGGTGCCCGTCTTCTCCGTGACAAGAGTGCAGTCCTCGCCACGGTCCCATCCACGCTGTGTGCCATGGGACTGCAGAGCGTGTACCTTGTTGTCTCCGCCAGAGACGGCCAAGATGTTGGCTGTGGTGGACCAGCTCACATGCCACACCACGTCGCTGAACTTGTGCAGCAGCCGGGGGGACCACACACTGCCGGAGGCGTCGTCACAGGTCCAGATGAACACCCGCCCATCCTATGGAGAGACGGCCGTCAGGGACAGGCTTCACTGAGCAGGGCAAGAGCTGCCCAGGGTCTGTCACCGCCATGCCGGAGGCAGACTGTCTCTGCAGAGCTGGAGCGGGCCCGCAGGGCTCCTGTGGGTGATGTTTTCTCAGCAGAACGCATATGGCTGTCTGAAAGCTGAGCTCCGATGTTCAGAAAACCAAAAACTCACGGCTACCAAGTTGATGCCGGCTCAGTGACCCCCGTAAGACAGGGTAGAACTGCCCTGACAGGTTTCTGAGATGGCAATGCTACGGGAGCAGACAGCCTCATTTTTCTGCTGAGAAGTGTGTGAGTGGTTTGGAGCTGCTGACCTTGCTTGTGGTGGGCCGCCCGCTGTGTAACCACTACGGCACCAGGACTCCAGTACGACTGTGGTGGTTACGGCACCTGTTGTCAATCTGAGATTTAAGATTGAAGGGGTGGTGGGGTTTAGCCTGTCCATCAGGACGCAGCTTGATAACCTCATTTGGAGATAAAAAGCTCGCTGGTGGCAGAACACATAGTGAGACATTGCTGTGGACAAGCCACATGGAGCTATGCTGACAGAGCCAGAGCCCAGGAGCTGGAGGAGCCACGTGGAGACCCGAGCCAGCCCTGAGATGCCTCCTCTACCACTGGATCCACAAGACTTCCCACCCACTGGCCTGTGATCTTCCTGTGTTCGGCGTCACTGCATGTATTGCGTGAGTCTGAAGAGGAATTTACAGCCTGGTACTGGACATATGGACTTGATCGGACTGGGCTGTTACCTCAATAGACAATTGCTCTTGCCTATAAAGCTCTTTCTTATGCACACGTGTGTCTGGATTTGTTTCTCTTGTCAGCACGGACTGAAGCTCACTCTCAAAGGAGAGCCAAGTGACACAAAAGGTCTGCTGGGGTGGGGGGGAGCTGAGCCTGCCACCTGACCACCTAGTCCCTGGGACCCTCTCCTCACCATGGAGGCAAACCCCTGCAGCGCCCCCCAGGACTCCACGTGCTCCTTCCCGTCTCTGCCTGGTACCTTCCTCTCAGAGAGTAAGCCCGGCCCGGGCTGACCTGGGAGCAGCTGGCGATGGTGCTGGTGGGCAGACCGATGGAGGGGGCCCAGGCCACGTCTCGGACCCAGTCGCTGTGTGCCTCCAGCTTCTGCTCCTCCTTCCACTGGCCGTCCTCCTCCTCCCTGGGGGGGCACGGGACAATGTAGCAGCCCCACGGTGGGGGGGGGGCTCGTCTAGTGATGTCCTTCACTATGTCCACCCCCTGTGCCTGAAACCAGGACAAGTCTGTGGTTTCTCAGTGACAATCAGATACCCTGACAACTGTCCTTCCTTGGGGGGGGGGGGGGGGCGCCCCCCGGGGGGGTGGGGGGGGGGGGGGGGGGGGAGGCCACCACGGCAGCTGTTGAGGGGGAGGATGGGAAGTGCCCCGGGGGAGCCGCCCCTGCCACTTACTTCCACAGCTTGATGAGGTTGTCGCAGCCGCCCGACGCAAACTTCTTAATGTAGTTGGGCTTCTGCCCGGACAGCTGGTCTATGAGGCTTCCGGGGACGACAGCAGGGGCCCAGCTGACGGCATTGCAGCCGATCTGTATGGAGGGCCACATGGTGACGCTGAGACTCGCTCGTTCCCCAACAGTGCCCGTCTGGAGATGAGCATTCCCAGCACAGTGTGCCTTTCCACCTCGCGTGCAGACACACAGAAAGGAGGAGTCTGGAATTCTTCAGGAAAAAACACTTTTCAACATGAACATTCTTTACTCCCTTTCGCTCTTTACTCCGACACATCCAGAAAGGCCACAACACAGACGCGGGGCTCTAGGGCATGCACGTCACCACCACGGGGGGAGGACCCCTCCCAGGGCAGACACCTCGTGCACAGCACCCCCACGCCCTCAGTGGCCGGCCCGAGGCTGGGGTTGCTACGATGCAGACAGGTCTAAGAACTTCCACACTGGGGTGGCACCTTTAGGAAGACACCAGAGCCAGGAACCTGATGGCTGCGGCCTGTCAAGATCGAGCTATTTATTTAATCTCACCTCAACACGGCATCTCACAACATACGCCCACACACTGCCAATGTGAGTCTTCAAAACACCTAACACCCCCACTGCCCCGCACTGCTTTCAACAGGCAGCACCCAACTGAAGTGGAAAATTCAAGTCACGGCAAACCCCACTCATGCCCGTGCACCCCCACGCCCACCCCCTCCGGGCCTTTTGTGGTCCACAGTGTCTGCTGTCCCCGGAGAAGCCCTGGCGTGAAAGGTACGGTGTCAAAAGACACCTAACAGCGGGAAAAGGCAGGGTAACAAGAAGGCAGCCGGAGCGAGGGAGAGGGCAGTCATGCAGCACAGTCATTCAGTGAGCAGCACACTGCCATTAGACACGCACTGCCTTTCCTGCACACTTCGTCCTGGGTCTTGACATGGACTGGATGGTGTCCCTAAAATACACACTGGGGTCCTGGCCCGTACCTGTGGATGTGGCCCTGGAAACAGGCTTCTCTTTGGTCACACCCAGGAGGCCATCGCAGAGCAGGTGGGCTCTAGACCCCACCTCTCAATGAGCCCAGCACAAATATACGCAAACCAAACGAGGGCTTCCAGCTTCCCGGCCGGGAGACAGCCCATCCCCGTGCGCGACAGGCACCGTGTGTGGCAGTCCAGCTCTCTACAGGGACTCGCGCGCGCCGCACACGCTTGTATCACATGTCAATTCTGTTGCCTGAAACTTACTTCATGGAGCACATCTCCCTGAGTTCATGCACATTGCACGATCCTTACATTCCAGTCATTAGAGCTCTGAGCTGGAATCGACAGGGGTTAACTGCACATACAGGACAGCCGTCCCCACAAGAGACAGCCTGGCCTTCGCGTGTCCGTCACCCTGCTTTGTTGGTGCGCTCGGCTGACCCTCTTCAGAGCGCCTCATCAGCGGGACCGGCACGGGCACTCTCCTCTCTGACGTTCCCTCAGCGTCACAGTCTCACACCCACCCATGGGATCCTGTCCACAGTTCCACGCGACAGTATGGACGTAGCACAGCCAGTGCCCGTTTCTTGGTGACTACAAAGGAAAGTGCTGACTTTGCATACAGACTCCTGTGCTCCTCGAAGTCTAGTGCTGGCTCCTATTTCTTTCCCTGGAGCAGCCCTTCCACATAACGCTGTTGAAAAGCATCTTCGTCCAATTCCCTTTCCCTGTGGACAACCGGCCCGACGGTGCAGCCCCCGCGCTGATCCATCCAGTGCAGGGTCCTCCTGTCTGCTCCCCAACCCTGTGCTTCCTCAGGACAGGCCCCTCCTGATAACACGTCCCCAGTACGCGACAATACCACTGGAACGCACCACTTCTCTGGTCTTCCCCCCAGAGGAGGTGGATGAAGGCACTGTGGCCAGTCTCTGAGGTGGCTGGAAATACCACGGCCGGGGTCAGGCATTCGTCAGTCCCCAAAGCACTACGTTTAAGAGCTCTCGTGCCGGCATAGAGCAGGCCCCAGAGACGTGATGTCCCGCTGAGCGGTGAATGACTGCCAGCACAGGGAACTAGAGCCCGCTCCCACATCCTGTGCCGGGGCCCTCCCCGATGGTACGGGTGCAGCCGGCCTCCCTAAGTGCAGCCTGCAGTCTGGTTTCAAAGTAAAGAGGCTCAACGCTGCTCGGACCCAGCCTAGCCGGGCAGCAGGGGCCAACCTCGGACACTTGGCAGGGGACTAAACAGACCTACCGTGTGCGCGTTGCCGATCTTCTTCACCTCCCACTGGCTCTCGCCCGTGTAGCTCAGCAGGGAGATGGCCCCGTCGGAGCTCCCGCAGGCCAGGAGCAGGCCATAGTCGTGGGGTGCCCAGCACACGGAGTTCACTGTGGGGGTGGGGGCACCGTGAGCACAGGGCCCTGCCTGGAGGGACAGACACTATGGGGACCAGGCCCTCTCCCTTACTGTCACCAGGGAAACGGATGTCACTCTTAACAAGTGGGCAGGGCCCAAGAGTGGGACAGCCAGTCAGCAGTCAAGGAGGGCAAGCACCAGCCCAGGGTGGGCTGGGGAGCGGCTTTTCCCGCCCGCCCTGCCGGGTACCTGAGGAGTCGTGTCCCGTGTGCTCATGGGTCTTCTCCCAGGTGCCGTGCTCCTCCTTCCAGATGATGACTTTGCGGTCGTAGGAGCAGGAGGCCAGGATGTTGCCATACATGGGGTGGGCCCAGGCCACTTGCCACACAGGTCCCTCGTGCCTGTGGGGACGGAAGGCCCACAGGGCTCCTGTCAGGCTGTTTGGACTGAGACGGTGACTCAGGAGAGAGCTCCCGAAGGAATGTCTCTGCGCAAAGGGCCTCTCCTGGGGCGGAGGGAGGCCCTGGGGCCCAGAGGGGCTAGGCAACTGAAGATGGTCACAGAACCCCTCAGCCTCCAAGGTAGCCTTGCTGACCTGGGCAGGCAGAAACCCCTCAGGGGCAGACTGTAGCCAGCGCCATCGACGGCAACCGGGCACTGCTCGCTCTGCGTGGCGCTGGTCCACGTTGTGTGGCCTGCCTGTTACAGCCCCTTCTACCATCTGCTCAGATGCACATCTGTCTGCTCTGTGGGCCCTTCCTTCCCCTGCAGAGTTCTGAGTCTGACCCCCTTGGCCCCGGCCAGGGTCTTCCTAGCCCTGCTCTCCTCACGAGCGGCTGGGCCCGGGCGACGAGCAGGCCCCAGATGTGTCGACTGGCTGCACGCGGCTCTCCGTGGTTTGGTGGTTATGGGATGACCCGATCACCCCGTGACGTGATGAGCCAACCCAGCCAAGTGCCGGGCTCAGGGAGGCGCAGTGCTGAGCTGGAAGGGGCTCCCTGGGGTGGGGTGGGGAGGGGGCACACATCACCTTTCGTCTTCCGAGAGACACAAGGAGAGATGTGAGCAGAAGGGAGGACCCACTACCACCAAGAGAGACAAACAGAAAGGAAGCGCATTCTTCAGACCCAGGGTGCCCATGCTGAGAACTTTCTAGACCCAGAAGAAACTGACGCCAAGGCACATGGAGCCCAGGGGCAGCAGGCCCAGACGCTGCGAGGAGACGAGGACTTCCTCAGAGCCGGCACCCTGGATGCGGCCCAGCCCCACACTGTGCAAGAAAACGCTTCTGTGGTCAGTCACCCACTGGGGGTGCTTCTGGCCCAGCAGTGAGGGGACGTGGACACCGGCTTGGTCTCTACCTGACAGGGCGGTTACAAGGGCTAATCTATGGGGCGACGTCTATGAAAAGCTCACAACAGTGCTTGGCACGGAGACAAACATGAACCAAATGAAAGCCCCACTCAACACCTGGCAGCTCTCGGTCCGAGTTCCTTCCCCCCGGCCCCCCTGGAGTAGGGGCACTCGGTGGGGAAGCAGCACATTCCCAGGCCTTGCACAGAGAGCGCAGAGACTCAACTTTCTGAAAACAAGCACAGTGTAACCATGGCAAAAAGAAAGGGGCCATGGAGGTTACCCCTTCAAGAGGACAGGCAGAGCCTCTAGAGGCCTGCCCGAGTCACAGCAGAGCTGACCGCTTGGTCAGGGCGGCTGGCAGGTCTGACCTGCAGAGGGACACTGGCCACTGGGTCCGTGGTCACACAGCCACCGGCCCCTCCTAGCAACTTGTAGGACTGCTTCACCACTGGCACCGACTTAGAGTGTCTTGATTAGTTAACAAACACACTTCGTCTCCTTCGCAAGCCTAGTCACAGCCATGGGCCCCTGCACAGAGTGAGTGAGGAGGTACTGTACTCAGTCACCCTGAAATCGCCCTGACGGCGTGGTGGTTATGCATTCGATGCCGAGCTGCAAGGCCCGCAGTTTGAAACTATTAGAAAGACCGGAGCTTTCTGCTCCTGTCAACAGTGAGCGTCTGGGAGACCCACAGGGGCAGTCCCACCCTGCCCCCTGGGGTCGTTATGAGTGTTCGTGGGGTCCATAGAAAGGTGAGGCGCACGGTAACTTTAGGGCGGAGCTCACCCTACACACTACCCTGAGATGCCTGGACTGGTACAGAAGTCACTCCTATCGGGGCAGCAGTGTTGGCACCATGAGCACTCTTGTGTGCTCTTGCCTCCATCCATCAATGACTCAAAAACCCACTGTCAGCGATTCCAGTCCGAGTCGGACAGAGGGGGACCTCCCCTTTGGGTTCTGAGACTGGTAACCTTCACGGAGGAGAGAAGGTCATCATTCTCCCTTCGAGTGGCTAGTGGGTGTGAACTGCTGGCTTTGTGATTAGCAGCACCAGAGCTCCTTACCCACAGAAAACAAAGGATTTGTGCCCAGCTCTCACACCCGAACTCTCCCACAGAGCCGGGTGCTCATGCATACCGGACGGGATGCTGGGAGAAGGGCAGGCCGCTGAAGCCAGCGGGCATTCCTACATTCATTCACTGAACACCTGCGCAGGGCAGCAGCAGGCCCGAGGGCGCTGGGGCAGTGTTCTCACATCAGTGCTCTTGAGCAGCACCTGGACGAGGTGGGCTACACCAGCAAAGTCGTTCTAGTTCGCGGCTTTTCGGAGAGGCAGCAGCTGCACCGTGGAAAGCAGGGGTGGGCTGGACACTGGGTGGGCTGGACACTAGATGGGCAGGGCAGGGGCAGTTCGAGCTCTAGAGGGAAGTGGATTCGCTGCCCTACTCTACACCCGTGCTCCTAACCACTGACTGTGGGGCACTGGCTGAGGGTGGGGGTGGGGGTAGGGCAGGGGCCTCCATGCCCCAGGGCTGGCCACACTCACCCCCTGAGGTCAGCAATGAGGATCTGCCCTCCACTGCGCACGTCGAAGATCTTGACGGACCTGTCGGAGGAGCAGGTTGCCAGGCGCGTGCCGTAGTAGTCCATCTGGGCATCGTGCTGCGGAAGGGGGATGGATCAACTCGCCAAGAACCGCACAGCAGGATGTGCAGCGCCTTTCTGCCAGGGACAAGCCCGCCCCATCCAGGTGACTGAACCTGGCTGGAAGACAGAGCGGGCCTCGACCTGCCCCAAGGATGAGCTCAGCCCAGACCTGGGTGAATGCTGCCCAAAGGAGCAGACCTCCACGTGACTCGGGCCTGACGGCCTCCTCCAAGAGGCACCTCTGCCTGGACACAGGTCCCTCAGGTGTCGGGCTCCTTCCTCCTCCTCAGGGGCCCCAGATCCTTTGTGCCCTTGCCTCACCTGAGCTTCTGCCTCACCTGTGTCCTGGAGGTGGTCCAGCACCGAGACCCCACACTCTCGCTAAGCATAAAAAAGCCTTATCGTAATCTGGCCCTCCTGCCCCTGAGGCTGACTGACCATCCGGACCAGGCTGGGCCTGTCTGAGGTTTCTCCCCCACTGGGGCTGGGCTCCTGGGGCGGCAGACCTCCCAGCGGGCCAGTAACTCCTGCTTGCTCCTGCTCGCAGCCTGGCTAGTCCAGCGGACTCACTTTCCATGAGTCACCCCGCCTCAGCCCTTGACGCAAGGAAACATCCTGATTCTTCTGTGGAAGCCAACCCGCTCCAGGATTTCAGGGCTTGGCTCCCGGGATTGAGCCCTGTCCAGTAGTTCCTAAGTGATTCTGTGAAGGTAGGAAAATTGCAGGCTATAGGACCCACGAGGCTGCAGGTCCACCTCCTTAGTTATATGCTGTGCAGCTTTGGAAAGTCCTGGCCCCTCCTTGAACTTGTTTTCTTATCCCTAACATGGGCCAGCGATTCAAGAGCTGTATCTGCTTCAAGAGCTGAGATGCTGAATGCAAAGTGCGTAGCATGGGGCTGAGCCTCAGTAAGCAGGGAAACAGACGTTAGTCATGGCTACCACGCCTCGTTTGTTCCTCTCACCTAGCCCAAACGAGCGGCAGTGGAACCATGAATGCACGCAGGCACTGAGCTATCAGATCAGGAAGCTGCAGCGGGCCCCCAAAGTTCAGACTGGCCATGGACTTTCAGACTGTGCCTTCTTACCACGCTGTCACCAAGGACATGTGGCTGTGCAGAAGCCAGGACCCGAGACCAAGTGCGGCCGCACAGACCCAGAGCAACTGCTGCCTGGAGATGTGAGAGCAGTCTGGCTGGGACGGCCGGATGCCAGATGCTCTCGCCTGAGGGCTGCCCACCAGGCCCTGTGCAATGCAGTCGGCACTTTCCCTGCAGGGACTTTAACCTCCGACTCACTCCTTCAGGCTTGCCCTCCCTCTCCTCTCTCACACCTACAACTCTGTACTGCACATTAGGGGTTGGCATTTCTGATGAACTCTGCACTCAATGGTTGACAATCTCTAACCAGTCGTTTCCCATCCACCTGCTCTTTGCTCTTCGTCCTCCTGTGGATGTCACCCAGGCAGCAGGCTTCTGGGCCTGACCTCTCACCCTTGGGGTCCTGCTTGGCTCACTGGGGGCATTTGTGGAGGCGCCCTTCCACCTTTGCAGAGAGCCACCATCCAAGTTAGTCCTTCTCCAGGGGAGGGAAGCTGAAGGCAGGCAGGTGGGGAGACTACTGCCAAACCTCTGCTCCAACTGTGCCTCGGTCCCTCCCACCAAGAGCGAGCCGTCAGCCACGGTCCTGCCCATTCAGAAGATGGGTCTGCACTGACCAGGCCTCGTCGGCCACAGTGAGGCTGGCAGAAGGCTGTACAGTTCCATCTGGGCTCCTGAACCATCAACAGAGAGGGGTGACAAGAGACACCCCTGCGGCCCTCCCACAGGCATATGCATGTTCAGGGAGGGCCTCTGTGGGGGGCCAACTGAGTACTTACAATCATGTCCTCGTGGGAGGTGTCCACGGTGTTGACCACTGACACCTGCAACCAAGGAGATCAGAGGTAAGTCGGCGGGTGGTGGTCAGGATGTCTTCTTTCTCCAAAGCCACCAGCTGCCTGAAGTTCTGGATCCCATCTGTTGCCAAGCCCTCTGCCAGGGCTGGAGACTCAGCCACCACGAGGAGGGTCACACGATGAGTAAAACCTAAGTAGCCCCAGGACTGCGGTGCTGGTGGAGGGCACGGGCTGGGGCGGCAGCGTTGAGTAGAACTTGCCAGGTGGCACTAGGGGGAAAGGTCAGTCCAGAGAGGGAACAGGGGTGCGTGCAGAGCTCCATGTGTGCAATGGCTCCCTGGTGGTAGGGGGCAACCGAGGGAGATGGGTTCTCTTCCTGGATTATAGGGCTCTGATGTCTTAGGCCAGTGATTCTCAACCTTCCTAATGCCACATACAGTTCCTTGTGTTGTGGTGACCCTCAACCATAAAATTATTTTCCTTGTTACTTCTTCACTGCCATTTTGCTACTCTTATGAATTGGGCGACCCCTGCGAAAGAGTCATTTGATCCCCAAAGGGGTCGAGACCCACAGGTTGAGAACCGCTGACCTAGGCAGTTTCTGCCTAACAGGGTCTGTACCTACAGCTTGGAGACAAGAGTCATGGTCCTCCTGAGGCTGCTCCTGGTCCTTCACCTGTGATACACCTGCGGCTGCCACTGAGCAGGATCCAGGGCTAGATGGCTGTCAGGGTCTTTAACTGCCTCGCCAGGTTTCAAGGTGCAGCTCAAACCGTACTCTCTCGGGACAAGGCACAGACCCCGCCCCCAACTAGTTGGGACTCTTCTGAATACTTTCAGCACTGGACACCTGCCCACTTCTTCACTCCCACAGAGCAGTTTCTAGGGATCAGGGTCTGGGTTGTCTGCAGCCCTGAATCCCTGATTATTCCCCCCTCTAGTGTTTGCTCACAGAAGGAACAGAGACTGCTCACTGTCAATCAATGAGCAGACAAAACGGACCACTGTCCTTGACCATTCTTAGGAGGGAGAGGGGCACAAACAAGATTTCCTTCATTTCACCTTTACCCACAAAAGCCCCGGGGGTATAAAGCTCAGCTTGACTTTTCACAAAGGGGGCCTCGGATGAGGAAGGCCACAGAGCAGCCTGAAAGGTACGCAAGTGAGCAGAGGTCCCTCCCTCAAATGCCAGACTCCCTAACAAGTGGGTGCCCTCATATGCAAAGAGAAGGAAGTTAAGAAGAGCCTCCTCTGGGTGCTAACTGTTGGGTTGGGGCGGAACTAGGCAGCCCTGTTTGGACTAAGCTGAAGCAGGTTCGGGCCCTGCACGTGCTTCCCTGCACATCCCATAAGTCAGCAGCAGTGGGCGCCAGTGAAACCTGAAGTTCCCTGTTCAAAGAAAGCCTCCTGGAGTCTACAAGCAACTCTCCCAGTTTCCAGACCCCATATGCTAATTGCCATACATTCCTCACCACTCCTTTAAAAACCCTCGCTCCCAGCTGTTGAGCACGACTTCCCTGACCTGTTGGCCTAGGTCACGGAACCTCATCCGTCCGGGAGCTCCCCTAACCCCTGATAAAGCTCTTTCTGTTTCTGCTTTCCCTTGTCCCGTCAGTTATGTCCGTCTTCCTCCCTGCCCCAGTTCCGCCTTTACACTAACCTGTCCAGGGTGCAAAGTGCTGTCCCTCTGTGCGGTTCGAAGGGCACAGCTAATTCAGGGCGGCCTGACACAGGAAGGACTGAAAGCCGAGGGTGGAGAAGTACTAGCCACGGTCACGGTGCCTGCAGCCAAGCCCCCACTCCTACCTCCCAGCTGCCAAAGCTTTCACTCAGCCAGGGTGCCCATTCCGAACGTCCCTCACACCCAACAGCGGACGGCGGGCAGTGTCGACTTAGGAAGACTGTTCACTGGGGGGTCCTTTCCTACCAGGTCGTCAACAGAGCTTCCAGACGGCCAGCATTTACCCTGAACCCTCACACGGTGAACCGCGTTCCCGAACCAGGGTGGTTTCAGAAAGCTCAGAGTACTTCCACTCCTGCACCTGGAGGTAACACGCAAAACGAGACGCAGGCCACTTAACGTCTGCGTTAAACGTTCACCCTGAAGGAGACGAACGCCAAAGCACAAGAGACCAAAGCCAGGCCCAGCGACGAACACCAGGCTGACCTTGCCCTTCTGAGCAAGAACCCAGCCCGCGTGCACGCTGGTTCCCCCCTCTGCCATCAGACCTGGGGGCTCTCCCGGGGACCCAGCGCCCACACAGAGTTGCCCGACACCTCTGCCGAAGAGATGGCAGGCGAGTGAATGGTTGCGAGGGCTCCAATCTCAGCTCTGCCCCGTTACCAGCTGGGCGGGGGCTTCAGCTCCCAAAGCCGCGCAGCATCTGCTCTGCAAAATGCTGCTAACGACAGCACGTCCCCACCGTGACCGGCCGACCAGCAAAGGCCTGGAACTTTCGGAGAGCTCGGGATACCGCTGTCTTGTTTATGTTTTTAATTGCTGAGGGCCGAGAATCCCCAAGTACACTTGCGGGATGTCCCGGCCTCACGCTGGCCCCGCTCTCCCCAAATTCTAGGGGAGGAGAGCCCCCAAGCCTCGACTGGGGGTGGGGAGCTGGAGGGCCCCGGGCCCGAGTCTGAGGCGCGAAGGCGCCCGTGAGCGCGAGCCCTCCCAGGGCAGTGACTGTATCCTGAACCCTGCCCGGCGTCTCGGGCCCCGACACTCACCATGGCTGCGGCGGCGCGCCCGGGACGTGGCAGCTCGCGGTGGCGTCTCCGAACAGCTCACTTCCGGCGCGGGCGGGCCGGCCGTCGGGCCGCGGCTCGGGAGCCTCCGGGCGGCAACCGCTCCGGCTCACACGAAGGTTCCGGGCTTCGGAAGGACGCGCCCGCCCTCCTGAAGCCCCACCCCTCGACGGGGGCGGGGCCTGGTTTCCGGGGCGACCGTGACGGCAGAAGATCCGGAGCCGCGGGACCGCTGGCTGGTCTATGAGCCGCACGCGTTTCTGGAGACGCGTCGATGAGCGGGAAGGATTCCTTTATTGCAGCTGAACTGCCTGCCCCCCGTACCGTGTGCGACCGACCTTGGGGTTCACGTCTGAAAGTCGGCTGGTCGAGGCGCTCCCTTGCTGTTAGCCCCGCCCACTGAGCACGCGAGGGGCGGGGAAAGCTAGGGAATGCCCCGCACCTGCGGCCGAGACCGCCGGCCCCGCCCTCCCTTAAGGACCCCTGCCTCTCAAGGGGGGCTGGGGGCGCCGTGGTTACACGTTGGCTGGCTAACCCGCATGGCGGGGGGGGGCAGTGCTACCCAGGCCTTTAGGGCCACCGTGCGTCTGAGTCAGCCTCCACCCGGCCCCTTCCCCACAGGGGTTCCAGGGCCCCGTTGGGTTGGTTGTCCCCCAGCAAGGAGGGATCTCAACCAGGCCCCAGCAGCTAGAGCCCAGGAGCCCATTTCGTCCGGTGCCCCCAGTCGGCTGCCCCGGAGGTGGCTGCGGGCTTCCCTCAGCGCACACGGCCCCTCGGGGCGAGGGGGGGTGTCTTAAGGAGAGGGGGGAGAGGGGGTAGCCACTCGGGGGGGGGGCCATCCCTTGGGTAAGTCACAATCCCTCCATTTACTCTCTTGAAAAGGAAGGTAAGAGAACGCTAGCTGGAGATGGCCACTGCTTGAGGGAAGATGCTAAGGCTCAGAGAGTGTGATAGGCCCACATGGAGCACTATGGAAAGGGCCCCAGAGGAGCGGGGAGCTTGGCCAGACCTCCAGGTTGTAAGCCATCCTTCTTCCAGTCCATCCACGAGTTTAGGATTTATGTTTCCATCCAGATGTGGTGTCGAGGGGTGAATGTGGGTGAGTGAGCGCTGGAGCAGGAGGTGACTAGGTGGAGCAGGAGCAAGGGCGGGGTGGGGGTGGGGTGGGGGGGTGTCTTGGTTTTCCTATCCCTCCAGGGGCAGGTTTGGTCTTTAGGTGTGTAGCCGCCCCACTGAGTAATAAGGCTGTGTCACTTCCAGCCTCCAGTCCCTCAACTAGGCAGTGGGAACAATGGCATCTTAGGTATGATAGAATGTAACACGCAGCCGTGTTCCTGAAGAAATGGCTTGGGGTCGGCAACCCAGTAGAAGAGGGTGGGCATTCGGCACAAGCTGAGCAATGGCATCGTTCTCGCTCGTGGGCCTAAAAAGCAGGGGCTTAGAGCACTGGTCCTGGGTCACAGCACAAATGTTCCGGGGTGAACACTGCATTGGGTGGGCCTACTTGTTAGGTGGGCTTCCCTTCCCCCCTCTCAGCTGCTGGGCCCTCTGGGGCACAGCAGGCATGATAACACTGCCAGCTCACCCCCCTTACGCCCTTAGAGGATGGGCAGCACAGCCCCTGTGAGGTTCCGAAACTGTCACGCTCAGGCAGCGGTTCTCAACCTGTGGGTCTCGACCCCTTTGGGGGGGGTCGAACGACCCTTTCACAGGAATCTCCTAATACATCCTGCATATCAGATACTTACAGGACGATTCATAACAGTAGCAAAATTACAGTTACAAAATAGCAATGAAAATAATTTTATGGTTGGGGGGTCACCACAACATGAGGCGCTGTATTAAAGGGTCGCAGCATTAGGAAAGTTGAGAACCACTGCGTTAGGGGAGCAGACAGCCTCATCTTGCTCCCTCGGAGTGGCTGGTGGTTTCAAACTGCTGACCTTACAGATCCCAGCCCAGGGCATCACCACAAAACCACCAGGGTTCTGTTATCATGATACCTCTGTCAGGGGCTGATGTGGGATTAAATGGACCCTTGTATGTGAAACAGTGTTTAGCAGCTGGATGGGCCTGGGATGCTTGATCTGAGGTGGGTGCACGCGCGGACACATTCACCTGTGTTGTCTGAGACCCACTCCCTTGGGCCAACATTGAGGATTGTCTGTTCTGTAGGCTGGGCACATTCTCTGCCGATATGCAGCTGAGGTTCATTCTTGGATACCAGGCTCCCCTCTGCCTCCCTCCTTCCCATTAGGGGATACACCAACAAACTGTGTCCATACCTCCCACCTGCTTCCTTTGGCTGATGCCAGGACCCAAGTCAGGTCATCATTAGCTGCTCCCTGTGTGCCCCTCAGGCCCCCCGGGGCCCTTCTCCTAGAGGTCTTGCTCTCGGGACTCTTGGCCCCTGCTGATGGTGGCCTAAAAGGTGGCTTTTCCGCTGAGTAAAAGCGTCTTCTCCAGAAGACAGGAGAGGTATCTGGTGGGAAGAGAGACTTGACCCCCCATCCCCCACCCCCGACCCTCTGAGTGCTGTACCCTGGGGCCAAGTGCCCTTTCCCCTCCCTGGGATTCTGTTTCCGGAGTTCAAGGTCACAGAAGGTGGGGCCCAGCTGTCTGTCCTGCGGAAAAAGGCCCTGTGATGTGTACGGTGTCTGCATTTCCACGTGTGCATTTATTATTGCTGCTCAGTATAGGGTTGAGGGAGAAGCAGACAAATCCCGTCAATTACAGAGAGCATCAGCCAGAGGTACAGAGAAATGAGGAGCGTACAATGCGGGCACAGTCACTTCCCCGTCCCCACTGTTCCCCCCCCCCCTGCACCCGGGGCTGGCGGGAGGCGGCACCATTCTCTTGCCACTGCTGTGAAATGCATGCACAGAGTTAGCAAAGTGGGGCGACCCAAGCCCCCGAAGTCCCAGGTCTTGGAGGGCGAGCACCTCGGGCCTTACGAAACACACGGAGGGGGCTGGGGAGGGTGGTCCCCCAGTGATCTGCTCGGGGTAGTGGCTGGGGGCACCCTCCCACCCATCCTGTGTGTGTGTGTGTGTGTGTGTGTGCAGGACCTCCATCTCAAAGTGAGGAGGGCTCGATGTGGAAAAGACGTGGTAACTTCTGATGTCAGTCTGGCTTCTGGAAAACCTCAAAGCCTGCAAGAACTCTCACTTTCCACAACACAGGAATTTCAGACACTGGCCGGAGAGAGGTTTGGGCCAGGGGGCTATCAGAATGCACCAGGTGGCAAGCTCCTGCAGGGAGCACAAGAAGGGGTGGGGTGGGGGTGGGGGTGATAATGCCCCAACAAGAAAGATGGCATTCTAAAGGACCACACAACCACTGAACATCAGCTCAGGGAAAAAACCCTAAAAAACTCACAGTGACCCTACAGGATGGGGCAGAACTGTCCCTGTGGGTCTCCAAGACCATCATGCTTCATGGGAGAAGCCTCATCTTCCTCTCACGGAGGAGCTAGTGGTTTCAAACTGGTGACCTTGTGGTTAGCAGCCCAGTGAGTAATCTACTATGCTCCCAGGGCCCCTAAGAGGGAGACGGGAATCAGCATTTGTGCGCGCAGTACTGGAGTAAACAACCAGGTCACAGGTTCTGCTTCGGAAGATCTCTGCTAGCTAATGCTTGTCCCTCCAGCTCTTCCTTCTCATCTGGGTCCAGGCAGATTGGGGACAAGAGAACCAGCTCAGGGCAGCCGAGGGTGTGTGTGTGTGTGTGTGTGTCGGTGACTGTGGTTCCCAGGCTGAGGATGGTGGCAGCTCACTGGCCTGGCCTCTCTGGGGCTCCAGGTTCAGGTGGCATGATGGCGGGGGTGGGGACACCCAGGGTCCCTCAGGAGGCAGGACCCCTCTCCTTATCTGGTGGCCCCGAGAAAGTGCAGCAGCAGGAGCCTGCAGCACAGAACCGAGAACGGGAAGAAGGCAGGGGAGAGGAAGACTTGGCAAAGTGTAACGTTTCCTGGGAACCGTGGGATTCACGAAAGGGGGAAAAACCAGCTGCCCTAGGTAATAACATGTTTTAAAGCCACAGCAACTAAAAGCACCTGTGGCTGGTGTCAGAGGAGAAATGCCCCCACTCCCACCCCCAAAGCGGGAACATAAGCGAAATCCCAGAAATCGACCCAAGCCTATCGTATAAGAGGTGCCCCTATCATCAAGATGGCAGTTGAGAACAGTTGGGGAAGACAGTTCGTTCTTTGAGAACGGGTACCCAGGGTCAGGCAGGCAAGAGTGGGTGCTGCCTTACCGCCCTGTCTCTGAAGCAGGGTCCCCTCCCTGACTAGCTCTATGCTCTGGTTAGGCCCTGGGGAACAGTCAGGGCTGCTTGGGAGTTAGGAAAACCCTGAGTCCCCCTAGCCCACCAGCTAAGGGAGGGGGGCCTCCACAGTGCAGGGACCACTGATGGGCCACCTGCTCTTCCCTCAGCTGTTGGATGTTGGAGGCAGCAGGTGGCTGCATCTGCTCTGCTCCCCCCCCCTCCCCCGCCCCCCCATTCCTGGGACCCTTGTCCAGAGGGCAGCAGCTTTGCAGGCCTCACACCTGAAGACAAAGTCTACCTTCGAGAGCACATACTTGCTACGTTCTGCTTGATGGTGTTTTGTTTGTTCGCTTTTTAAACCACAGACATCTCCGAGCCGCACTGCGGAAGTAAGGAGAACCAGCCACTGAAAGCATACCCGTGCATAGTATTAAATGAACAGAGACAGCGAGTCCTTTATTTACAATTATTGTCTAGATAAAAAATTCATAAAAACAGATGAATGGTCATAAATTATTTACCCCCTAGTGGGGTGAACTGCCAAACGTACCCCATGCTGCTAGATATAGGACTCAGAGTGCAAGCTTGGTGTGCTACAGTGAATTTTGACAAACCATTTCCTGTGGCTGTGTCTGCAGGTGTGTGTGTATGTGTGTAGGGGCGGGGACCCATCACTCTTGACAAGAAAGGACCCATGCTGATGCCACACATTCTTAGTCTCCGTAGCTTCCCTGGTCCTTAGTCCCCAGGCAGGGCTCCGCTTCTGGCCTGCAGAGGCTCAGGCCCAGGGAGCACACGGGGAACCATCCTGGTGTCTTGGAATGAGGTCACAGACGGACGTGTGATTGAAACAAAGACGTGGGCATGGGAAAACTTGAGAAAGGAAACTCCAAAAAAACCCCACACCACCACCATGTTCCGAGGCTGGCCCCTGCCACTCACGCCTGAGGGGTCCTTCCTCTGAGTTGCTCGGTGGCTGCCTGGTGGCGGTGCTTGCCGGCGCAGAATCCAAGCAGCACAGGTGCGGGCTGATGGCCCCGTGGGGGTAGTGTCCTCTGCTGGGTACATTCAGAGAGTTCGTCGTGACATTCAGGCGCTGGGCTCTCACAAAGGCGGCGGCTCCTGGAAGGCTTTCTCCAGACAGGAGGGTGTTCCAGCTCCGTGGGGCCGCTGCCTGGGACCCCAAGCCCTCACGGTTGTGTCTCCACAGCCATCCAGGCCAAGGCCCTCCCCGTTGGCTATGGCTCGGTTCCCGAGGGGATTCGTCGGGTTCGTGGAAGAGTTCTCTGGGCCCGGAGAAGGGAAGGGCCGGCTGGACACAGGACCACTGTGGGCAGAGTCAGCAGGAGGAATGAGTTTCGCAAGTGTTTGCTGACCCTCGAAGCATGGGACATCATCGATCATGGTATTCAAAATGTCTTTTGCGCTGTACAAGTTCATGGAAAAAGATCATATGCCGAAAAGTCTCAAAGCAAACTTTGTATTCAATACAAAAGTTCTTTTATGAAAAAAGCCGAGACCCACAAAGTGCTGAGCAGTGAAGGGGCTGACGTACAATGAAGGAAGCTCTCATCGAGTGGGATTACTAGTGCGTTATGGTCGGGGTGGGGGTGGGGAGCAAAATAACCACCTTGTCTCCCCTGTGAGGCCGCAGGGTTTCAGAATGGCTTTCTGTCTGGGAATGCGAGACTCGCTGCTCAAGGGCTACGGTCTCGATATTGTGACTACGGGAAGACAATTTGTTGGAAACCACACTGACTACATCTCAATGCACACGTCATGGAGTTCATTTGGATCTAAGTAGTGCAGAGAAAAGGCTCTTCTTTCCTTCAGAGATAAAGTCAAAAGCAGCAAGCTACCCTGATCTTTCATCCATAGCCAACAGCTCCTACGCTGCCATTTGTAGAGAAATACCCCCCCCCAAAGGACCAACTTAAAAAAAAAAAGCAAAAAACCAACACCCCCCAAACACAACAGCATTTATAAAACCTCAACACCACCCTTGTGTCCACACAGACGGCGCCCAAGGGAGTCGAGGTTGGAAATGCTCGTGGTAAACTCAAGCGCGTTTCAGACAGAGAGAAGTTGGCAACCTTTGCTTCCTGTGTCCCGTCCCCCTTCCCACCGCTGGTGTGGTTGGGAGGGCTGGGGTGTGGGGGGTTCTCCTTGCCAAACCACGAAGGCTCCTCTCCTCCTCTCCCTTTGTCTACGGAGCATGTGGTGTGCAACCTCCCCCACCACAGACACTCAGTCAGTAGCTTCTTACTTGGCTTCTGCCTGAGCCTCCCGCAGTAGTGACGTTATTGAACGGAAATAGCAGGCAAAAATCAGAACATGGCTATCATAAAACATCAAGGATGTGATCCAGGAGCACGGATCTGGGGGGCTGAGTTGTGGAAACAGCACCCCAGTCGGCCTCTAGTGTTCTTAAACCGTACAAATAGCTGAAGACATTATCTACAGGTTTGTAAACAAATTACATTCTTCTCTTAGGACATAAATAAGTTAAAATAGAGCAATTTAAGCGGAAACAAGGCAACATGCCGGCAAAGAAACTATATATATATATATATCCATGTATATATGTGTGTGTGTATATATATATATACATATACTTTTATATATATATAAATCTACCTATCTATATGGACGTATACCGCCCGGGAGGCGTACACGTTGATATAGATACAGAGAAATGGATATAACCTTGTGAACATCTATGAAGTTCTTCGGTTCCATTGGTGCAAATCTACTGGGCGAGTTAAGCTCTGCAGTTTCAAAAGAGTTAATTAAATTAATTTTTACAACTGAGACCATGCTGCGCAAGCACTTCAAAAACTCACAGACCAGTGGATTGGATAACGAGTCTCAGAAATGAGTCCGTTTGCAGTTCCCGCCTAAGAAAACGAACAAACAAACAAACAAACAAACAAAAATCCCCCCCCTCCCAACCCCCGAAAACCCAAGAAGGGGAGGGCCGGAAGTGTACAGTACATTCATGCAGGGACGCGGCGGCCGGGCGGGCACGGCTGGTCCGTGGGTGGGCGGGAGCAGAGGGCCTGGTACTGACCACTCGCTCCCTCCCGCCCCTCGCCTCCAACGTGCGCCGGCCGCCGGCCGGAGAGGGGTCTGCGGGTGCACAGGGGTCTCTCTCCGGCGTTTGGTTTCCTGTGGCTGCTGCTGCTGCTCCCGGGCGCCGGGGTCCTCAGCTAAAGCGATGTCTCCAGGCTGTGGATGGGGCTCCCTGGACTTGAAGAGGTAGCTGATTTGCTTGTGTCGGTGGTCAGGTTGACCCCGCTGTCGATGGCGCTGTTGTTCTTGTTGAACGACGAGGGCGGGCTGGAGCTCTGCTTGAGGGCGGCGTCCTCTTCCAGGTCGGTGTCGTCGATGAGGGGGATGTGGGGCTGGGAATCCTCGATCCGGAATTCTGGGTGAGCCATGAAGTTATGGATGGAGGTTCGAGACTCGGGCTTTTCCAGACCTTCGTAGAGAGAGCTACGGAATGCCTTCACCACTCGGATCTGCAAGGGAAGCCGGGGCGTTAGACGCTCCGCCCCCGGGGCGTGGCGTGGGCGTGGCG